ATTAGTATTTAAACCATTTTTTTGTGCTTTTTTATTGCAGAACATTAAAATCCAAAAAGAAATTTCCAGATAAGTGGGGCAATACAAAACATGCTCTACATTGATACATTAGTGATTCTTCATCTTTTAGTTTCTTTAAAAGAAATATATAGACTAAAAGCAGCCCCACAACTTCTGGTTGACCCTGGTAAATATGTGTAGAAAAGCCTTCAAATAAATGGACCTTGTATTGCAGCGGATAGACATTTGAAAAAATAACGAAATTAACGTTCCAAATTTATTACCGTACATTTATTTATCACGTTAGAAATGTTTCAACATCATCAAATACTTATATTCATTATGAAATAAATGTAACTGAAGCATTTTTGGAATCTATTCTTTCATTTTTGATTAGCAATAAGATGTTTTTATTATTAATGTATAACTTCCTGTTCCTTTAAGGTACAAATAGTACAACCAACAAGAATGTTTGTATTAGCCACTCCTCAAAATGGGAAATACAGGAGATATCTAATTTAACAGGGGAACATTTTAGTTTGTTTAAGCCTGTAAATAACACATGAAACCTTTGGAAAGCTTTGCCATGCCAGAGTCTGGTTTCTGGGTAAATAAATCTGGACCCCATCCAGGATTCTGCAACAGATAAAACTGCACCCTGCAACAACAGCTGCTGATCTCAGGATTGTTTTATTCTTACATTGGAGTAGTTCAAGTGCACCAAAAGAAGGAATAGAGGATGGTATTTGAGTAAAAGAATAATGGGAGGATAAAAAGATGGGCTCAAACCTGAAGATGTAATGGTGTGAAAGTAGGTATTTATGGAATACTTAAGATTGACAGAAGTTGAAAACTTTGCCTCTTAGTCAACACAGGGTTGGAATAGTATTTTCCTAATGTTGATACATGCAAATAAGTGTGTAAAAGATGAAAACAAATCTAGTGACTGAATTTATCCACTGCTGATGTTGTGAAAGCAAAAGGTGCAAACAGAGGGTGAGAATTTTTATTCCTCCCCGGGTTGCCCATGTCACCACATAGTCTCCTCATAAACTATCATGTGTAAACATGCAGAGTTTCTAATCTGGAACCTTGTGCTTTGGTATGAAAAAAGATAGAGATGTGGAGCGACGCTCACGGCCACTATATTGGCATTATCTGCCAGATAAGTTTATTTTAAGGCTTTTTACACAACTTAAGCAGCTTTATAAAATAAGGAGACCCTATATTTCACTGCAGATAAAGACTTTTGTTCAATCGTGAACTTAAATCAGTGAATTGAAGATATTAAAATAGGGGTTTAACTTAAATCTCCTAATTTCACTTTGCATTTGGAAGGAATCCTAATGCAAAGGACAAGCATCTCCCCCCTGCAGGGCTTCCACATCTTTCATAAAGAGGTAAATGTTTTATAACAGTTTATGTCTTACCGATCGGAGCGGAATAGAAAAAGGAAAAAGTGCAAACACTATTGCTAAATACAGGTTTTCTTTCTAAGTCTCACATGTAGTTTTTCACAAAGATAGAATACGTTCAGCACTGTCAAAAAACATTGGCCAAAGTAAAACTAATCACAGTTTAAAGAAAACATGTAGAAACTACAGAATGGCTCATAGTGTGTCTGTATTTCTCTACAGGCACAAAATACTTGATCAACAAAGACCGTATTAATTCTGATGAACAGTCACTCACCACGCACTGTACATGGCTTGGAATAGAGAAATATCAGAGGATTAACTTCAACAAAACCACCTCATCAAGAAGCTTCACATGAAAAAAATACAATTATAACAGACAATCAAGTCCGCTCTTGACAAAGACACCCTCAAATAGGCCTTTAGTTGTGGACAGGAAACACGCTTGTTCCATATGAAGAACAATCACAGAGAAAGTTGACTTAAGACAATTGCTTATCTCCAACATAATTTTTCTGTACGTTAAAACCAGGCAAGTTCATTTGGCTGCTATTCATGTGTGGAGATAAATCAGGGTCATATTTGTATAAAAATGCATTGAAAAGCAATAAAGGGAAGTTATATTAGGAGCTGAATGGGAATTTCATATCTTGAATGTCAGAATATAAAAAAATGTATTTGGTAAAAATTATATTTCAGTTTTTAGGTAATTTATTTTATCTTTTATCTATTTCATGATTTTCAATATTTCCCTCCGTTCCTGGTTATTACCTGCACTGTAGGATATATTAATGCATTAAGTGTATTGGCTCTATACACATTATAACTGTGTGTATGACTATATAAAGTCAGAAATAATGTGCATTTGTTAAAACAAATGCACCTTCATTTGAAATTGACATTAAAACAAAAATCAAATTAAGGAAAGCAAGGGTGGTGTAGAATTTTTTTTCTTGTATTAAATATTTGAACAATTTCCTAAATTAGCCTTCGTTAAAAAAATAATTTTCTGTTGATATAAACAAAGTACTTCTGAAATTAATTAAACAAACTAAGTTGTTACTTGGACTCTATTCCTTAAAATGCACATGCTCACCTGTTTTAGTTCACTTTACGAAAACCAAAACACTTGAGCAGAAATCTGAATTTGGTGTGATTTTCTTCTCATATTAAAAAAAAAGAATAAAAAAATCTTCAAAGATAAGATTTCTTTTCTCCATGTTCTGTCTCCTTCAGCTAAGCGTAATCCACTCTTCATGCAGTGAGATTACTGCACAAGCATGGAAACTTCAAACCTTTGTAACCTTCAAATCTTTATCAAACACATCAACATTTTCTGTTTATTTGATATTTATTGCTAATCAGTTTATTTCTTGTTTTTGCGTTTAAAAAAAAATGGGACAATTTTGAGGGATAGAGAATAAACAGCATATCTCAGAACAACAAGAATTCACAAAATAAGGTCTACAAATATAAATTAGGACAGATTTATAGTGAATTGGAGTGAATTATTTTTTGAAGTAATCCCCAAAAAAATATCTTAACAGATTTTGTTTTACTTGTTTGTTCGAAAGAAAGAAATAGAAATGAAAATTCTTCCCTACATTGAAATAAAATGGTCTTGATTTAAATGCATGCACATGTTGCTTGTTTCATCCATTACTGTTTTATGTGCCAACCTTTACCTTAGCTTCTCATCCTTCATAGTTTTATTTTTTTCAGTTTAAAATCAAAAATTTAAATCCTTTTTCATTTCTGTTTTAAATAGACAAACCTGATAGCTGTTTTTCTGCTCCATACCAATGTGCCAAGCAACAGGTAAGCAAAGGAGAAAATGCTTTATAGATAGGAAACATGCATCAAGTTCACCTCAGTATTTTCTTACATCAATTCAATGAGGCAAAGGCCTGAAAATTAAAAACCTCATCTCATAAACTCCCGCCTTTATTATTACAAAAACATGGAAATACATGGAAGCTGTCCATTTATTTTTAAAGCTCCCAGCTGTCTGACTGCATTGTCCTGCCGCAGTTTTCCCTGCAGCTTACTGTACTTTGTTTTTTAGTATGCATAACTCTTCTACATTCATCATCAGTTGTCAAAATGTGATTTTATAGTAATATAAAAACTCAACAGTCATTTCATGGAGGAACAGTTAACTGGAAACACGCTAAGACACTTTTAGTTCAAAGTTAAACACTTTGTAATTACAGTATGAACACCTAACAGTCTGAAACAACGAAGTGGGGACACTATAAAGGAAGGAAAGCTTTAAAAACACAGCTGTGTTCTGGCTTTTTGTACAAGCATTGGGATGCAGGCTGGTAAAAATGTACATCTTCAGCATTCCCGTGTTCAATGTTCATTATTCCAAGTTTGCAGAAAGAAAGTTAGGACTACATTATGCTATCCAGTTTAGTTTCAGAGCTGCACCTCTAAAAATAGAAATGCCTATGACTCACCGAGGAGTGAACTTTCATATTCTTCTGCAGAAAATTTTCACCGGTACACAGGCTTGTTGGTGTGCTTTGCACTTTAATGCATGGTGAGAACAGTGGTATGTAAGGCAGTGGATCCTTATCTTTTTGCTGGATTACATAAAAAAAAAAGTTAACAGTTGCTGAATTCTCCAAATGAAATGGATTTTAGCTTTCTCCGATTCCACACACAGATGTAAGTAAAAAAAATAAAAATTAAAGCTGTGCTGATCAGACTTTTACAAGCTGATACTGGTATAAATCTGCCTTTAGCGTTTGCTGATTTAGATTTTGGCTTATTCTGGTTTTTCAGGATCAGTAAAGGTTGATGACACAGTGAAGGAAAAATAAAAGAATTTCTTTGGTTGAGGTAGAATCCTTAAATACAACAGAAAATAAAGAACTACAATGTTATCCCCTTATATGATTCAAGGCAATCTCATAACAGTCGGGTAACGTATTTACAAAACCCTAAAAGCTAGAACTTTTTAGTTTTGATGAATTAAACTTATGGAGGAAAGAAAAGTAATTCTTTATTTGACTTTTCGATCATCAATTGAAGCCAGTCAAGTAAAAACTAACTTATTTGTGCATCTCTAAAAGTCTCCTGTCAAAATCATTTTTAAGTTTTTTTCAAATAAATTGCCCTCCCAGTTTCCTTTAGAGTTTCTGAAGCCCACCAGAACTAGATGCATGAATTAAGTATATAGATTTTTTTTGTATTACAGCGCCCTTTTGAGAGCAAAGCTGGATCAGAACTAAACATAAATGAGGAGAGAAGGATTACAGACATAGTTTGCATGCAATCCATGCTGGGTAACTGCAAAGACTGAGCTACTGCTATACTATTTTCAGCAAAGAAAAGACAGAAGCAAGATATCTTGTCATTAACCCAGGCATTAATCATTTCGATGTTTGGTTTCTCTGGTTGTTAGTTCTTCCAGAAAGAGTGATCGAAAAGCTCCATCTAACCTAAGACAGTATAATCTGCAAGACTTTCCTTTAGTGATCTACCCTCTCTTTACATATTAGTGCTGATCTATAGGAATGCTGTAAAGCATTACCTTCTAATTAATGCTTATTAAACCACCTCAGACCGGTTGTCTGGTTACGACGTCTCCAAAGTAATGACGGCCTCTCCCGCCTTGTAGATAACAGTGGAGGAGGAGGGAGCCTCGCTGCGTAGCACCTCACGGGGACCCAGCATGGATGGTTGGACATTGAGCTTTGATCCAAGAGAAACTCCAGCGCTTTCATCCCCGTTTCCTTTACCCACATTCCCTTTCTGGTGGTGCTCCTCCTCCCCTCTCCTCACATGACAGCGGCACACCTCGATGCCAGAGTCGCCTGTAAGCCGTCGGTGGCTAAAATGATCCTCATCGTCTTCTTCCTCCTCGTATTCTTCTCCGTCTGGTTTTTGCTCCACTTTAACATGATTATCTCCATTTGGTGAGTGCAGATCCTGTGCAGAACAGGAGGGTGTTACATCATGAGGTGCAGACTTCATTGCAGCTGCTGGGTCAGAGGGCAGGAGAAAGTGAACCTGACCAGGAGGAGCAGAGGATAACAGAACAAGGGGGGAGAGCGGGAGGCGGGCGGGATGTGAAGGTTGTGAATATAAAGGGAGGGAAAATGGAGGACAAGGAGATGAGGGTCTGTCACCACCAGCAGTCTGCACAGGTATGACATCAGGAGTGGCAGCAGGTATAACATCAGGGGGAACTTGTGACGGGGAAGACTCAACAACATAGTCACCCCCAGCTTCACTAGGGGTGGACATGTGGCTGCTGTTGTACGTCTCGTCGGTCACCTGGACAGAGAACGAGGTGCTGGATGGAGAGGTGAGGGAGCAGGACTCGCAGGAACAACTGGTGTAGTTGTCAGAGCTCTGAGAGGAGGTCAGCCCACTGGGACCGGGGCCCAGGTACGGAGGGCAGGGGTGCCGGTGGTGGTAATGATGGGGGTAAGAGGAGCTTGGCTCTGCAGTTGTCCCTCCCTGCAGGGCAAAGATGGAGCTATATGGAGGTGGAGGCGTCCCGGGGCAGGCAGCTACTTCCTCATAGGTGGGCAGCTTCAGAGAGGTCAGAAAACCTATGGCAAAAGAACAATAAACTCTTAAATTTTTTCATCCTGGAAAAAGCTTAATTCTGCCCTAAACCACCAGATATTGCCTCCAGGAGTCACACTTTTGTAGTTAATAATTAAAAATAACAGAAGTATCACTTGTTTTTACCTAAACAAGTCAACTTCCTGTGCTTTGCAAAAGTGCCCCTTAAATGATTCAAAGTTTTACCAGCAAAGCTAAAATGATTTTACGTAATGAAAAATACAAGTGAGGACATAAAATTAATATTTGATCCCAATATTTGGTGGGATTAATTGTAATAAAAAAAAAAAAAAAAGAAGAGACAAAATAATAGAATTTATGTCTTTGACTGGTGTGATGTGATTGCTACGCTACAGCAGTCAAAGCCCCACAAACACAAACACGGCTCTTAAAATCCATGCCTATTTTTAAAAGGACTTTTCTGGGACTCTGGTTACATGCAGAAGTGTGAAGTTATTATTACTAGGTTAAACAATTACATTTCTTTATCAGATGTTCTAATGTGATGCTATCGATGATAATCATGACAATGATTATGATAATTCATAAAATGTCCATCCCTACAAAGAAGTACCTAGTTGGGAAGCGGAAGAAAAATGGCCGATTTAGTTTAACTCTGAATATAATAAAGTATGTTTTGCTTTTGCATACAAGCACTCTGAGTCAAGCCTTACTTTTAGTTTCAATCACAGGTTCAAGTCCTTTAGAGATTGAAAAGTTTTCTCAAAATGAGTGACACTGGATAAAGATTTTCTAAAGATAAATTTAAAAGTGTCTGAAATAGTCATTCTAAGATGTTGCTATGCTTTGATCTTAACCATCCCTTCTAGCTCCGTCTGTATGTTCAACGCTGCCAGCACCATGTGCCTCACCTTCTCATCATTTTATTAATGTTGTAATGCTGAAATATCTTCTCTCCCGGATCAAACTAATCAAGAGTTAATCAAGTCAAACAAATCTCAACAGACTTTAGAAGTATTTCAACATACTGAGATCCAGCATTGAGGACGGAAAGTTAGAGGCTCCATTATAGGCAATCAGATTGATTTCCCTTTGCCTTTGCTGCTGCTGGATTCTCAGCTTGGCTCGGCGGTGACGGTAAGCACAGAAACAGCTGAAAAGGATCAGCACCGTCCACAGCAGCCAAAACCCTGTAAGGGAAGAAAAAGCTGTGAACAAACAATATTCGGCACATAGTTCAATGTGCTTTGGCATGCCATGCAAATAAATAAAACCCTTGAGGTTCGATACAGTCACATTGCTCTGCTAAAGTAATGTATAGCTTGATCTGATAGTTCCTTTACACCCCTCTGCATAAACCTGCTGCACTTTTGTGGGTAGAGGCTTTTTCAAGCAAGAATGGACTGTTTAAATTCACACTACAATTTGAATCATAGATGAGTCCTAACTTTGACTAGGCCATCCTAAAATCATTACTGTAAGCCATTTTGATGCAGTAAAATGTGTTTTAAATTGTTTATTTTTATTATTTTAAACAGCATGTTATAGGACCCTATTTCCAACCAAGATTCCCTTTCTCATTCCTTAGGATCTATTCAAAGAAGACACAGGGTATTTTACAGCTTTGGTAAATATAAGATGATGGTTTTTCTTCTTTTTAAACAGCAGTGGTTTTCCCCTTGAAACTATCCAGCGGAGGCTAGTTTTGCAGAGATTATTTCATACTGTTGAATCATGAGCACTAATCTGAGCAAGGGGAGGCCTGAAGTAATGTGTTACTTTAGGCTCTTTTGTGAATTCCTGGATGAGATGTTGATGTGCTTTTGGAGTATTTTTGTGGAATACTGGACTCAAAGGTTTTGTACTCTGACATATTTTCTTATGGTTGCTATGGAGTTCCAGAGCCTTTTTCAGGTTTTTTAGTAATGTATTAATTATATGTGTATGAAAAACTAAGGTTTCCATGTTATTTACTGATTTATCACAGTTCATTGTAACATAACAAGTGGGGTAGTGTTTTCTGCTGATAAATTATATTGAAAGCTGGTATTTATATTAATTCAACCTATCCTAGTCATATATTAAAAGTTAATCTGATTATCTGCAACATTCAGGGCTGACAAAACAAAAAATAAACAAGAACTCTGTACAGAGAACTTTTTTTTACACTTTAAATATATGACCTGATGAGCCTTATGAGGATTATTTAATAAAGCAGCAGTTCAGCTGAAACTTCATTATAGAAAAATAAAAAACAAATCACAAATAGATGTACATATGGAGCCCTGATCATGTGTTTCCATTCTATACTCTTTAAGCATTTAACTTTTTGAATTTAAAAGTAAAGCTGTTTAACTCACACCAGAGTTCATAATAATAGGTACAGCAGCCTGTTTCTCCACAGCAGTGTCCTGTTTCACACCGGTAGGCCGGGCTGTTGTTGGCTCCTGGACAGTATTTGGGACTGACCACAGGCTGCCTGCCTGAGCCGACGTGATGCTCCACCACCTGGTGGACAAAGACAGGTGGTGTAGCAGAGAGAACCTTTCCAAAGAAATCCACCGATCCTCCTTGCTGCACGAAAGTAAGACATGAGGTAAAAACACCTTAAAAACTGTTAAAAAGGGGATCTGAGAAAAGCAATGCCGATCTAAAAGTATGTTTAGAAAGGATAATTAATGAGAATATAGAAAATACAATTCACGGGAGCTATAAAATTAGTTAATTCTAGTCTGAACACGATCTATAAGAAAGAAGCGTTAATCTCACAGTGAGCTGATGGAGGTTAAAAAGCTTTAAACATTATTACATTTTTCTGATTTATGAGTCCCATGACACTCATATCCTCTACTATATAAAGCTATAACCCAGTCTAAATTTCTTCACGTTTACTACGATTTATGTGACTGATGAACAAAATTAGGAGGTGAAAGCAAAACATTTAGCAAAATATGTATCCTCTTATGTACATTTGCATTTTGTCCCCCTTTCTTTGATACATGTAAATAAATTTCACAACAGCTTAACAACTGCAAAATATGCCTTTAGCTGACAGAGGAACCCCCAAGATTGTCAAAAAACATATGTAAAGCATTTTGCATTTAAGATAAAACTTTTTCTACTATCTGCTCTTTCCAGAACTCCTCAAGTGAAACACATTTTTTTCACCTGGGTTGAATTAATAAGAAGTCTTCTTTAGAGAAACCTTTGACTATCTGATTATTAATCAAAAAAATTATCGACAGATCAATCGATTAGCAAAATGTTTAGTTGCAGCCCTAGAGCCCATTGGAGAAGCAACAGCATCACAAAGACCAAAGAACAGTGTAGATAATGAAAAAAAGGCTGAGATATTTAAATAGACGTAAAGTTATCTGAAAAATTATTCAGACGCTTTCAACAAAGCACTTTCCATTATTGTGGTTAATGAGAGCATTAATCAAACAGGTAGCCAAGTTACACAACTGCCGAGATCCACTCAACAAATCTGCCTTTTCATGAATAGTGCCAATAAGAAACAAATTACTGTAGGTTAAAAAAAAGCTATTTTTAAGTCTATTTGAAGTGTAAGGCAGGCTAAGTAGGGAATACAGTGGAAGAAGGTGGTCCAGTCAGAGGACAACAGAAAGTAAATGATTTGGTCTACAGGATGCAATGGTGGAAACCATGTATTACACATAATCCTAAATACTGAATCCAAGTGGGGATTCATGTTGGTGCAGCTGGGATACCTTTCTTCATTAGAGACACAGAAACTGTTTGGAGTTGATGGAAGTATAGGTGGTGCTTTAAACAGAGGATGTTACCCACACTTGGGTGAATGTTCACCCTCCAGCGGGACAACCCTAAACATACAACAAGAGTCCAGACCCAAATCCAATTTAGAAACGGTGGCAAACCTGACAGGCGATGTTCCCAGACTCTCTATATCCAATCAGTCTGAGCTGGAGCTGGTTTATAAAATAATCTCCATATATTTTAGATGCAAAAAGCTAATAACTGCATCAAAGCATGGTTCTTCTAAGTAGAATAGGGTGGATACAACACACTTTATGTTTTTTATTTGCACAAAACTAACACCATCTATCCTTTTCTTTAATGTCATCACAATTAACTTTTTTACAGTCAGTCATTCAAACCCTAACCAAATACATGCATGTTTCTTGGATGTAAAGGACAATTTTATTAACGCTGAAGAGGTACAAATACTTTTGCAAGGCACTGTATATTCCAACAGTTTAATGACAGTTATCAGTTCCAAATTAAAACTAAAGACAAGCCCCACCTCATCAACTGTGTTGCTGACTTTCTCCCTCAGAGGCACCTAGAATGAGAAATAAAATTGTAGCTGAATTAGGCAGCAACAGGTCACAGTGAAACCCTGGAATGAAGCAATAACAAATTGTGACGTTTTTTTGTTGTTGTTTTTTTGGTATAACAACGCAAAGGCATCTAAATCTGCTCTGCTAACAGTTACAGTACCACACTAGAATCAAAGGTGCTAACAAGCAGTAAGATTTGCTATAGAAACAGCTCAGAGATAGGCTCTTCTGACTTCGTTTTCCATATACTGATTCCGTGTTTAAAGGTTGGTCTCCTTACTGTTGAAGCTTCAGGTGAAACCAGCCCCTGCAGGGACATCGTCATCTGGTGAAAAACAGAGACACAATGATCAGGACAGAGAGAACAGCATGGCCATGATAAGATGTAGATGGCAAGACTAAGCAAACAATATGTGATTAGTCTAAGAGTGACACATTTTCCAGTCAGAGGCTGTCAACTGCTGTCTGCTTGCTTTTCAAGGTAATAAAAAGGCTTTCTTTTCTATGCAATGAGCAAAGTTGATAGAAATCAACATTTCTGAGACATTTTCACAAAATCCTCCCCTGTTCCTTTAAATCTTTATGAAATACACAACGTAGTAAAAGAAAGTTAGACAAACGTACCCAAAGGTGAAGGGAACAGATAAAAACATAGAGTGGTTTATACTATCAGATACCACAACTATTGCTGGTGAAGATTCTCAGTCATCCAGGTCATAGTGATTCCAAAAAAGTTAAAAAAAACAATTCACTGGACTTTGTTTCCAAGTTTAAAGACGTTTCGCTTCTCATCTAGGAAGCTTTTTCAATTAAAAATGTCAGAAATACCATTGAGTTTAAGGCTTTATAGAGTGGCCCAACAAAGCCTTGTTTTGGCTTAGAAAACATGCAAATGAAACGGACAAATGGGTCAACCCCTTAGGAATGGAGGTTGTTTGGCTTCTAACCTCTCCACAGATGCATACCCCAAGACGGAACAGCTACCCCATCGGGACAAGACTCTGCGGTACATCTACACCTTATGGAGAAGGGACATTCTTTTGTAGGACTAGAATGTTCACATTTTGGAAAAAGAAAATACTGGGTGGTTTGAGAGGGGCATGAAGGAAGCCATCTTTGTTAAGAAAGAAAAGCCAACCTTAAACAGAGGGGGTCGACTCAGATTTCAGCTTTCAAAAACCTATAATGCAGTGACAAGAGTTGATTCTTTCCCGCCATCATGGCAACCCCAACCCCTCTACAGGGGAATGGACAAGAGGGAAGACCTTTGTCAGGAATCCAGTTTGTGTGGTCTGTTTTTGTGTTTCCTTTCCTCCTCCACCAGGTGGTGCCCCGTCCTTTTTGGGGCTCCCTGCACACCTGCAGCTCATCGCCTCATTACCTGTGGAGTGCTCTTAAGCTGCTGACTGCCACTACCTAGACACCAGAGTGTTTGCCAATACTGGGTACTCTAGCCATGCTTAGTTTAGCAGAGTCTAACCTGAGTCTTTCTTTTGCCAATACAGGGCACTCTACCCATGCTTAGTTTAGCAGAGTCTAACCTGAGTCTTTGTTTTGCCAATACAGGGTACTCTAGCCAAGCTTAGTTTAGCAGAGTCTAACCTGAGTTTTTGTTTGGTAGTTTTTGGTACTTTAGCCAAGCTGAGTTTGCTGAATTAAACTGAGTTTTTTCGTCAACCTGAGTCTTAACTTTGTTTTTTTGTCTTTGCCTCTCGGCAGGAAGTCATCCTGCAAACTGGATTTGTTCGGACCTTCTCTCTCTTGAAGGATCAACTGAGCTTCTAATTGAGCTGGGGTTCCAAACAGGAAGTTTGGATCCACTTACCCCAAGAGGTCGTTTGAGCTTCACACCGAGAAAAGGTTTCATCTGCACCACAGCCCGTTCAAGTACCACAGGAATTCTGAGTGGCAGTCAGCTTCTCCATTCACCAAGGAACAGCAGCAGTCTGACTAACCCTGTCCGCCCAACACCAAACAAGAAAATCTCTGAAAAATTCCACACAGACTGGATTCCATAAAGGACACCTTTTTCTGGAGAAGCGAGTCTGCAACCTATTCCTCCAATTCAAGCCAAAGAGTCTAATTTCCCACTGAGCCTGAACTGAAGTGAACCGCAGTGTCTTCCCCTCACCTTCCAGTTACGGTTTCACAGAGTTCATAGCAGCACGGGATTCATCACATTATTCTATAAAAACCTGTTTAAACTTTTCCCTGGTCTCTGTTTGGTCTCCTGCATTTTGGGTCAGACCTTTAATTAAATCATGACAACCTTGCCTGTTCAGCCAGGCCAGCAATTCCCTTTAACAAGACCCCTTTCAGAAACGTATACAAGCCAAAACAAGGCTTATTTGGGCTACTCTACAAAGCCTCAAAGTCAAAACCATTGGCATTTTAAATTGACCATCTGACATTTTAAATTTAAAAAGCTTTCTAGATGGGAACCGAGATGTCTTCAAACTTGGAAAGAAAGTGCAATGGATTGTTTTTTTTTAACCCTTTTAGAATACCACAATTATAGTTTCATCAGGTGTTGGTATCGGTCTTAATTGGTTATCCATCCCTTCACTGATTTACGATCTTCCAGTTATCCACAGTGATTTTTGCTAATCAAATTTATTTTAAAGAGGCAAACTTGGTCAAAAGGAAACCAGACCATGCCAGACTTAAAAAAAAAACAAAAACAAATGCCCATTATCCCACAATGTTTGAAAATTACCTTAAACATTTCCTGTTTAAAGGCAGTTTGGAGCTTCCAAAAGGATTAAAGGCAGAAATTCACCTCTAACAACAGCTTTAATGAACATCAGGATGTGCAAAAGAACGAAAAAGTGCATCAAAGAAATATGGGTACAAAGTCAGACTAAAACTAAACAAATGTATATATAAAGTGATTACATAAAAAATTATGAATAGAGCTTTAGGGCATCTTATATACAGTAAAATGATCTTATGTACATTGATGTATGATCTGTTGCCAAACAGATACAGTATAATGAGGTTAATAGGTTTCTCTGCATTTCAAGAAATATTTGAATACCGATACGATTTAGTCACAACTTTGGAAGCTTATTTTAAATAACAGAACATTTAAAATACATATAATACCCTTCTATATGTATTCAAGGCAACACATAAGCACTTTCTTTTTAAAGTACATTATCAGATAGACAATTGAGGATCTGCACAAGCCCGGAATGGAAAGCCATTTTGTTCAGTAAGCAAATGGGTCCTGTTTCCCAGAGAGGAATTTCTTCTAATGCAAAATATTTGTATCAGCAATAGCAGACCTGGTAAAGATGCTGTCTGGAAATGGTAGACAGTCTTAAATTCCTGCCTTGAAATAAGTTTGCTAGTATCATGGGCTGAAAGGCCACTAAGCAAGGACGGAACCATTACTCCAAAAAGATTACAAAAAGACAGATTAGGGTCTGCGAATGAACCCAGAGACCTTCGTTTTGGAGATAGGCTTTATATTCTGATGAAACTAATATTGACGTGTTCGGCAGTAATGCTATTTTTTAGATTTGAAGGTGAAATGGCTTTTACAAACCTCTCAAACTGAACTGTGAAGCAAGGAAGTGGCAGTTTCTTGGTAGCGTTTTTTTTTTTTTTTTTTTTTAACTCAAGGAGCAAATTGTGTACTTTAAAGAAAAATGGTATCAGGAGAAAATATTTAAGATCTTAAGTGTCTCCCAAACAACCAATACAACTAATCATATTATCAGATTAGTTGAAACAGAATTTTGCAGAGGCCAGAGCAAAGTTCTGATTTCAGTCGGTCAAAATTTGTGAGCAGAAGTTCAAACCTAAAGCACCAGTTTTGCAGAAGGCATGAGTGCAAATGTGGAAAGCTTGACAAAAGGATATCCAAAACATTTGACCCAGATGATTCAACTTAAAACCCATTTCTTCAAAATATTAAGGAAATACATGTTATCATCTTAATTTGAAAAGAAATACAAATTCTGAAAAAAAAGTTTTCCTGCTCATCAATCCAGCAGCAAATATAAACACTTTGTGTAATCCTGAATGAGTAGGATAGCTGTGATTTGATTTAATGACAGACAGTGAGGGAAAAGGGAGATACGTCCTTTAATACACTGGATGAAAATATCAGTTTTCAATTGTATTTCCCAAGAAGGACTTCAAAGGGAGGCAACGTAGAGGCTTCCTGATCAGAAGTAACTGATCCAGCTCCGTGGACTCTCTTCCATAAAGAGTAGAGGCTCTATCCCAAGCTCTCTGGTTTCCAGATCTCTAGGGCCAAGCCTAGTCATTCCACAGAGCAAGCTAATTTCAGCTGATTTTCCTTCATAACTTTTTACCATACCCATGATCTATGTTGTACCCGCAGAAGATGACTTGAACATAGATGTAAAGGTAAAAAGACAGTTTTGTTTTCTCTTTGAAAACAAAAATGCAGCTCAAATTGTCAAACCATCTTCTGCTCAATTCAGTTCAGTTTATTTATTAAGCACCAATTCACAACACATGTCATCTCAAGGCATTCACAGAGACAATTCTACCACATTGTACAGTCAGATTGGTTCAAAGTTTTCCATCTAAGGGAAACCAGTTGATTGCATCGACTCATTGACTCGACTGCAATCCCTCACACCAAGCAAGAGAATGAAAGAGAGCCATTACAGTTAGTCACAGAGAAACAGGACTACGGTACACTGAAAAACAGGCCATGCTCCAAAATCTACGAGCAAATGTGTTATGGCAGGAGCACAGCTGATAGTTCTCTCCAGGATGGCCTCACAGCCAAACAGAAACAGACCAGTAGAAGCTATTTTGATGATAAAAAGAGAAGAACGTGTAAAGTTAGGTGATGAACAAATACTGCAGAATGGGAGAATAGATAGAAGGAAGCAGAATGATGAAAAGGGGTTCCTGTGTCCTCCAGCAGTCTAAGCCTATAGCAGCATAACTATAGAGATAGCTCAGGATAACCTGAGCCCATCTAACTGTAAGCCTTATCAAAAAGGGAAAGTTTCTGTTCTATCTGGAACTTCCTTGTTAAGCTAAAGGAAAATGTACATCAGGGGTCACCAACCTTTTGGGCTACTTCATGAGTACCGAGTCATAGGAAGGGCTACCAATACTGACCTATGAACTGGAGGGATCAGCGTTCACCTAAACTTCATACATATTCATATTTTTATTTTTTTTTTTAACTTCAGATTTTCTTTATCCTATTGTCAATTTGAAAGATCTATAAATACTTACAAAAGAAGAGCAACAGAATAAAATACAATTTTTGTCTAAGCCCACTGGTGACTTGCTCAGAAGATGCTGTTGCTACCCCATGTGGACCCTGAGGGCCCTGGGTGCCCATGGGCACCACATTGGTGACCCCTAATGAACATTTTAAATGTTTAGCAGAATTTCTTTTTTTTTTTTTGTTCAGCTAATTAAAAATGCATTCTTGCAGCGAAGGAGTAGGATTAAGTAAGTGCCAAACACTCAAATGATGACCAGAATCAAATTATTTTAACATTGTACATACAGCCACATCAACAGCTTCAGTTAAACCAATGAAATGGCACAAGGCTTGCTGCTGCACACTGACTGCAGGCATGTTAACAAGTCATGCTTGGTTAGCAGTGAATACAGCCGGTGGTCATGCAGATGCAGCACTGAATACTGACAAAAAATATATTGCTTTGAAAGCCTTTACTGACCGATAGGATGCCAAAAGTGTGCATCGCCACAAATATTCAGTGGATGTTTAATAAATCCACATCCATGTTTAATGTGACATCGACTGAAGAACTGCATAAAAACGGTGGAAAAGTTACTGAGAGCATACCTGCAATAATAGGCAGAGAAAAAACCCTGCAGCCTGATAAAAGGAAGGTTTAATGGACACCGGCCCCAAAAAGCTGGACCTTCCCAGACCTGAACCAATTCATCTCTCACTTCAGCAGAGGATGCACAGAGACAGAACAGATGAGGAGGAGCTTTGATAGTTGACCAGACAGCAGGTCAGATCCGCCACTGAAGATAATCAAAGATGGAAAAGTCTGCTGGATCCTCAAAGAATGTTCTTGCTTTACTCTGTGATCAGTTGATTACTCTTTATTCCTACAGATTAAGCCTCACACTCATTAAAACATCTCTTCCTGGGCTATGCTGCATACAGAGCAAATTGTAAACAGAGGTTGTTATGACTATCTGCTTTCCAAACTGTTAATCCTCATAAATTGCATCATAAACTGAATAACCAGGGCAGTTCAGTGTAAAGGTAGATTCCAGATTTCCTCCGAAATAGAAAACAATCTGGGTGGTTTAGTAGCACATCTCATCACAGGGATGCCAAATTGGTCTAATCTGGTTACTGTTGACCACCATAATGGACATCTACTTTTCAGGTTGGGTGGCGGTTTGAAGAGGACAAAAATGCAGCCTGGAGCTGAGGTGGTTTCTTGAAAGATTTAATTAACCAAAAAGAGCAACAGAAGCAAAAATCCAAAAACATAAATCCACAAAATACTGAAAACCAGGAATACTCAAAACAAGGGCAAAGAAATGACAAAAAACAGCAAACAGTGACTGAGCAGGAGGTGCATATATGGGAGAGAGAAACAAAGACCAGGCTAATCAGCAGATTGGGAGCAGGTGTGAACAGAGGAGTCTAGAAGGGAGCTAGGAAAAAGGAGACTGACACAAGAAGGCAACAGAGGATAAAGAAGAAATATCTAAGAACTCAAATACAATCCAAAATAACTAGAATAACACAAAATGGAAATAAAACCAATGAAAACTCAAAGATAAAACTTAAACAGAACCAAAACCATGACACTACTCCTGCAGACCTCTGAAGATAGCCAGAGCTGTTAATCCTCCACTGTCAAATTAGGGCTGTTTAATCATTTTGCATCGTGTGGAACAGTACTATACATTAAGAAATAGTAAAATCTGTGGAAAAAGATACATATGATCAAAATCCAGAATGAATAATACTGCTCTATTATAGCAGTTTTAAAAAAAACCGCTAAGCCAACCCAGGAAATACTTTTGTCATTTAGAGTTCCTGTGGTAAGGCCACCACGTGGCATTAAAGCAAGCATGAGAGGGACGGGGAGTCACTCAGACCACCAAAAAACCTCAAATGATCTGCAGTACAGTTCCCCTCAAAGCACTCAAAAAAAGCAAACAAAAAGAAAAATCCAAACTGAATGAGGGACCTGTGTTAAAGAAATGCTTTAAAGTTACCAATTGGTCATCAATACCTCACCTCTCGCCACCTCTTTCTTCACTCTTACAGTTTAAGCAAAATAGAAAATGATCTTATCATTTCAAAACCAAAATAAATCATTAATTATATTAACTTTTTTGGAAAGCAAAAAAAAGAAAAAAACTATTTTCTAATAAGCTGAAATGGGTTCATTTAACAAGAACCTGCCAGTTGTGATTTTCAAGATTAATTTCAACAGAAAGGCTTATTGAAATAATACAGGCAAAGCCACAAATGATGTCCCAGTATAAAGAATAATTTAAATAAACTAACAGAGAGGCTATGCTTGTTGATCAGGGAACGGACAGTATTCTGCAGTGGTTCCTAGAATTTCTAAAAGTAGAATGGGAGGCAGATCTTTTAGTTATCAGGCTCCTCTCCTGTGGAACCAACTACCAGTTTTAGTCCGTGAGGCAGACACCCTGTCTACTTTTAAGGCTAGGCTTAAAACTTTCCTTTTTGATAAGGCTTATAGTTAGAGTGGCTGAAGTTATCCTGATCTATCTCTATAGTTATTCTGCTATAGGCTTAGACTGCTGGAGGACATAGGGACCCCCGTTTCATCATTCTGCTTCATTCTATCTCTATTCTCCCACTCTGCAGAAAATGTTAGTTCAATCTCTAACCTTATGCTCTCTCTGCTTTTTCTCATAGTAGCTTTGCCTCGTCTGTGACACCATCCTGGAGAGAAATATCAGCTGTAATGCTGCCATCAAAACCCTTGTTTAAGATGTTGGAGATCGGCCTGTTTTCCAGTGTAGTCCTGTTTCTCTGACTGTGACTGGCTGGATGTGCCCTCTTCATCCTCTGACATGGGGGCTGGGTCGGAGCTCGTCTGCCTGGCTGTGTGTTTCCTGGACAGGGCCGCCTTTTACAGCTGCTTTTTGTATCTCTGCTTCTGTCTCCTTACAGTTGGACTCAGCAGATGGCCGCTCACACTGATACTGGTTCTGCTGGAGGTTTCTTCCTGTTAGAAGGCAGTTTTTCCTCTCCACTGTCACTACAAGCATGCTTAGTGTGAGGGATTGCATTTAAGTCAATGAGTCAATGCAATCAACTGGTTTTCCTTTGATAGAAAACTTTGAATCAATTTGACTGTATGATCTGGTGAACTGCAACGTGCCTTGAGATGTTGGCGCTATATAAACAAGCTGAATTGAATTGCAGTCATACTGTCAATAAATCTTCTATAACTCCAACAATGTCAAATAAAATCAAATACCACATTCAGACATAACGAAGCACTGCAAGGCCTAACAGGCCATCAACATTAATGGAGAAAAATTCCCCACAGAGAGACCCACTGATGTTTCAGCAGCAGAATGATACACCAAATCCTGCACACATGACAGACAGGTGCTGGAGAGGAAACACAGGTAGAGGAACGTCCTGTTTATTGCAACACAATGAGAAAACTTCAACCTCAAACAGGAAAACTGGGACGAAATAAAACCTCAAACATGTTTTTGTGACCCATCGTAAACGTTAACATGGCCTGGTTACATTTTATATATATATATATATATATATATATATATATAGCCTTTATTTACATAATACTTTTTTAAGACTCTTGTGGCCTGAAATTAACCAGCTTATATATCATGTGTTACGTTACAGTGGGTTGAACCACCAACAACCGTAGATTTTAACATAAAAAACTACTAATCAATTTGGTAACTGTTTACTCTTTGCTTTGAACAAGTCTGTTTAATAGAAACTATATATCAATAGGAGGGATGAGGGATTTAGAAAACAATTTCTATAGTGAAAATAGTGGGGGGTTTTTTACATCTAGTTTACATTTAGTTACTTTAACATAACTTTTATGTCCTGTCTTGCTATAACATAAAACCATTGTGTTACAGCAACTAGATATAATTAAGCACATTCAAAAGGTGCATGATTTATTTTCTTTAGTGAAAATTAATTTTTCTTTTATGTCCCTTTTTGCGGCCTTGAAAGAAAAAATAATAATCTTATGTCATATAAAGCTAACCCAATCATTTTTTTCCTTTTTTTTGTGGATTTATAGACATGCTGATGAGAATTTCTACAAATGTAATCTGCTTGATCAAGTTTTACCACACTAAGTATTTACATTGTGTTTGCCTGCAAGATCAGGGGCGGAGCTAGATGGAGGGCCATGGCCACCCCTACCATTTTTTTCTCTCAAGTAGACTATTCAAAACATTTAAATTTTATATATATTAACAATTACTTGACAACAAAAACACTGTGGTTAATTATGCACAACAATTTACTAACATTAGAGATGATTAGTACAGAATTCTTGCTCTTTCGGAACTAGATTTTGTTTTATATGCTGTAAAGAGAAAATTATGTGTCTCTGCAAGTCATCTAAAGGTCTTCATTGAAATCATAGATACTTTAAATAACTATTTGAATAAAATGCTATTAAATTATCAATTTATGTAGATATTAGTACTTGTAAATATCAATTTAATGTAGAATATTATTGATAAAAGTAGGTAAGTAGTGACAATGGAAAAGGTGTTCGCTCCAGAACTCAAACCTCAAAGAATTTTATCCACTATACCTTTTATCTAGACGGATTTTTAAATATATGCATCCATTGTTAGCAAAGGCTGTAGGAAACTATAGTTAGTATTTATTTAGAAATGTAAGTTGTGCTTGTTCCTGTTGGAACAGTGTAGATTGACCCTGAGGTTCTGGTTCTTGGTTATTTCCTGGCCACCCTTACAAAAAAAAAAATCTGGCTACGCCTCTGTGCAAGATTAAAATAAGATGACTGACTTTAATGAACACAATTACCTAATTGTATCTGATTTTAATGCCCTTGAGCCACGCATAATGTTAAAGAGTTGGTAACAATCAGAATGTAGAAGAGCCAGGTAAAGGCCAGCATGTTGCTGTGCAGAGTCACTCCAGCCCAGCTGTTGACAGCAGCAAAAACCTGCGCAGTGTTTTACCTCATTAGCCTGCAGCCCAAGGCAGAAAGTCAGAGTCTTTTCTGGATCCATGAAGACAGCCAGGCTCCACAGGATGCACAGGTTACGCACTGAAGGCTCGATTACCGCTGTCCCACTCCACAGACGCGGCGCCGTCCCCGTCCGCCATTCCTCTGCCCCCCTTGTCTCTGGCGCGCGCGCATCAGCGCCTCTTATCACAGAATCCGCTGAAAGCTGCGTCAAATCTCACTGTGCATGAAGGACGCGTCTTCTAGTGCTGCGGGGACGCATTTATGTTTCGGTCTGAGTTTGCAGCTGGGAGAGACAGAGCCGTGCATGATGTCATGCTTCTCAGCCACCTGCTCCGGAGAGGTGCGGCTTTGATTGGCCGGAGCTCCCAGCAACAGCCGCGCGGAGGCTGCTTAGCGGGGCTGAAGGGCTCCGATCACACCGCTTCCAAGACTTCCTGGAGGATTTAGAGTTTAACATAACATAAACCTCATCTGTGTGAAAAACATTGTCCAAATATGCTTTGCCTCGCGTTAATTAAACCCTTATTATTTGTGACAACACGTTATTCAAATTAAAATAATTAGAATTTTATAAAGAGGGATTTTGAAAAGCATGAATTTATATTTGTCGAAGATGATTTCATATTCACTTTTACTGTTTTATTTAAATGCATCAGCAGTGTAACAGGTGTTTATCACAAACTCACTCATCCTTGGTCATAATGCGCACTTACTGGGCTAAATCAACCAATCCTGAGACCATGGGAGCTTTTTAGGGATTTCCACTTTTCTGTCAGGTTTTCTTCCAAAACTTTTGCCACATATTTTTCTCCATCCACCTACCAACTAGCTCAGATTGCTTCCCTATCCCTGTCTAAGAAAAAAGTCTCCTGCTGCCACACCAGATTATAATGTCCACCTGGAATCTTGTAGGTAGCTACTGTAGACTTGAAGCTGTAATTTAACCTCACCTGACCAGATCCTATTTGTTTTATCCTCCTTGGTTGTGTTTCCCAAATGGATTTTTTCCATTTTAAAGCAAGTTCTTATTGATTTCTTTCAAGAAAGAAGACTTCTTTTTTTCAAAACACCCCCCCCCCCCCTCACTGAGGGTTAAATGAACTGATTGTTTAGATCAGGGGTCACCAGGGGGCCCTCAAGGACCACATGGGGTGCTCTCAGCAACTTCTGAAAACAGAACAACTCACTTATGGGTTAGAGCAGGGGTCTTCAACACTTTCCAGGCCAAGGATGCCCAGACTGAGGGCAAGATGGAGCGGGGGGGCCCTAATTATATATATTGTATGAATTTCTGTTATATCAAGCTGATCCTATAGTCACTCTATTACAGATACAGTCATGTAAAGAAAGTAATTTCGCCCTGGGATTATTAAAGTATTTCTGATTCGGATTTTTCATTGATGGGACAGGTGTTGTGAATGAAATGGTGTCCAGCTTGAAAGAGCTCCTGTGTGTCGCTGGATGTGTGCATTGATGACTGAAAGACATCTTCTGCCTCCAGTTATCTGTTTACTGCAGTGATTGGAATTCAGCTTAATGTGTATTTAAAGACATTTTAATTACTGGAAAAAATTTATTTTTTAAAGTCTTCTCAACAAAAACTTTCATGACTGCCAGGCAGTACCTCCATATACCTCCAAGGGGTCGCGGACCCCCTGTTGAAGACATCCAGGTTAGAGATTTTATTTTATTCTATTTTAATCATTTATAGAGCATTTCATCATATTAATCATATAGAGCATTTAAGCATTTATAGGGATTTCAAAAGGAAATTCAGGTGAATACTGACTACTCCAGTTCATAGGTCAGTATTGGTAGCCCTTCAAACGACTCAGTACCCATAAAGTAGTTCTAAGCCTTTAAAAGTTTGGTGACCCCTTTTTTAGATCAATATTTAGATTATGAGCTTTACATCTCTGAATTATTTTTCCCTAATCTCTGAATAAAAGAAAGTTATACATATGCAATATAAGTTTTCAGGTGTTTTTAGGACACAACTCAATGTTATTTTTGCACAGCACTGACCCTTTCCATATATATGTCCTTTTGCACCAATATTTATAAAACTGGTTTTCGTTTTCTCCTATACTGTTTACATGATGACCACTGCTGTACTTTAAATGGTAATGTTAATTTCATTGTTGTAAGCTGCTAATTTCACTGTTGGAAGCTTTAGACAATGTAATTTAAACATTAAAGTTTGTCTATGTCTAAGGCTAAGTCAGTTTATTTGGACATGACAGGTTCCTGTTGACCCCCATCTACAACCGCCCATGCTCACATCTCTTTATCCATATGTTAACTTGTTATTCTTGCCCTGTGTTGTAAACTGTGCATGACTTTCTTTGACGTGGCTTCGTGCTGCCCTTGAGTTTTTGTGTTCTATAAATGCATTTTTGTTAGTTCATGGCTGCCTACCTGAAGCCTGATCTGCATTTTAACATAAACCCTTTGTATTGTAAGGTTCTGTTCTCGTTTCAAGTAACTGAAAAAAATATGACTGCCTAAATGTCCTCTGATTAGCTCTGAGCCTATTCCCTGTAAAGCTTTCAAAATGATGATGTTGGAGCTTTCTGCAAAAAACAAAAAACAAAAAAAATTTCAGAACATCAAAAAAAATTCACTGCTCCTTATCAAATAATTAAATGACAATAGTTATTAAATAACTGTGAGCTTGTAGTTGAAAACTTGTAAAGTGCCAATGTGCAAAATCATATTGAACAAGGAAATTATTTTCTTTACATGCAGTTCTGTGATTTGCCACATGAGGGCAGCAGGAAACTTAGTTTATTATGTTGTTTCTCGCAAGAGCCTCTGACAGAGGGTTCATTGACATGCAGAGGGAATTTCTGTAGAGTTATGGTTATTACAGTTAAATGACACCTTATAAAAACCTGGTGTCAGTTTTTTTATAGTCACCACTGTATATAATCTTTGTTTGGATGTTATGATGAGAAAACTGTCCTTACATAGCATCAAGAAGGAGTCGTGTCATGTTTCTGAATTATACTGTATGCTAAGATTGTGCATTATGAGTTAAACTTAGCATTTTTAAGCAAGTGTTGTAATTGAATTTGGATAAAATGCAATTATGTACAGTTGTATAACTTACATATACTAAAAAAAGAGGTGTTAAAGTGAGACAAAAACAGTTTAAAAAACATGTTTGACTTAGAAATTTACACAGACATGACCTAAAACACATTAAAATTGCATTCATACTGCAGCTTGGATTACAGTAATTTTCTTAAGCATTGAAGAGAAGCCGCCTGGTCATGTCGTTTCCTGACACATAATGACACAGTTCAGCATAACATACACTTCCTCTGGCATGTTTTGGCACATTCACATGCATGCAAACACCCGTACAAAACAATTCCTTTAAAGTAGGTGTAAACTTTCTGTGAAGGCTAAGAGGCTAATTACAGTTCTTACATAAAAAAAAACTTTGGGAAAAATATGGGCTGTTGCTCAAAATTAGTGCTTGAATTTTGAACAGTCAAGGTGGATTGTGCATGTTTGTTACACTTCTGAAATTAAGCTTTATTTGCTTGTTAACATTATAAATATGGATTATTAAAGTCAAAATGAAACTTATTGTATGCCCCGTTCTTCTTTCTGTGGTAATGTGTTATTGGCTGTCTTACATATTCACTACATTTTATCTAATTGGGATTTTAAGTGAAAGACTAACACAAAGTTGTGCAAATTGTAAGCAGAATTAAATAGATAACTGAGTTTCAAAGGTTTTTAGGAATAGAAACCAAGCAAAGTGTGACAAATATGTGTGTTCAGACGTGCTGAGTCACTATGTAGAATTACCTTTCCTCTGTAGTTGCAGCTGCATATTTGTTGTTCTATATCTCTGTCAGCTTTGCACGTTTACAGCCTGATATCCTTACCCATTCGTCTTAATGAAATGGTTAATATACCCATAAATTTGACTGAAAGTTCCTGAGCACAACAGTCATATTAAATTATGCTACTAATGTTTCAGAAATGTAGGATTAGTTGTTCACTGGGTCTTTGTAAACACATATATAAACTTTGATCTACATTTTCTATTGCAGCTCTGATTGTTTGCTGGAAGGTGAACTTCTGCCCCAACTTTAACTCAAAACTGCCCTGTTTTAACTCTCCATCTTTCCGTCAAAATGCTTCCTTATTCTTGCTAAAGAAAAATATGCCCACACTATGATTCTGCCACCAGCTGTTGTGTTCCTTTGACCAGAAATGCTGTTTGAATTTACCTTAAATTACACACAAGTCAACTTTTTTTAGACATCATACATCGCTTTCTGAATCCTTCCTGTTAAATATTATGCACTTGTTTGTGTTGTTTTATTACAAAAGAATGAAAATAATATATGAGGCATATGAAGTTGAATATCTTAATCACACTTTTTGCACTGCCAGTAATTTGTTTTCCTCATGAACCTAAATGAAAGGGATTTTCCTCGGCAGTTTTGGATTTCATTAAACCAAAATGTCCAGCTATTTGTTAAGTTCAAAGAAAAATCCCACAATGACAACATGCTTATTGTTTTGCAAGACACAAAGCATCGTCCAGTCCAGTTTACAATGAGTTTGTATAGTGAACTTTTTGAAAATTATCCAAATAAATAAAATAAGGAAAGTAAAAAATGTCCCCAATAGTTGTACAGCTTCTGTGTTTTTTGTGTTACTGTCCATCATATCACCATCATAAGCCTGGCAATGATGTCACAATGATGGTAAAAAGAAAAGCAAATTTTATGCAATTTCTAGCTTCTCTTTTTTAACTGTGTCAGCTTCTGACAGGAAAAGCTCATTAATAATATGCCAGGTCCAGGAAATGCAAAGAGCAATTGTTCAGTATGCATCTGTTTGCACTTACCACAATGTGAAAATTACATCCTGTGCCTCATGGACTGATGACATTTAAAATTGAAATCCTACTGTAAATGACAACAGGATGCACCTCATGCCCCTGCTGCACCCGCAAAGAGTCAATTTTACCACAACATAAGTTGTTACCGGTACATCTATAAAACCAGTAATGGTTTTATTAGTTAACTTGCATGTTCAGTTGCATCACAGTTGTATTTAAACATATTTTCTGATTAAAGCAGCTTGTGGCCTCTGTTGGAGCCTGCTTTGCACAAATTTTACCCTTCATATTAAAACCTGCAAAGCTCAAAGTTCTGAGCACATTGAGTGTTTTCTTCTTCTTTACAGCCCACAGTATTTAAAGAGCTATGTAGAATTGGCCCTTCTCCTTTTTTAGCAGTGCTCCTGAAATATTTTTGAA